TATTTGAAAAAAAAAGTACTTGAACTTTGTGCAGAATGTATGCCTCTTTCTAGTTTACTTATTTAACACTTGGTATAATTGGACACATTTCCCAAAAAACTGGTTTTCAAAATTTTCTTCGCAGGTTATGTCCCCTAGCGGTTAATCCAGAATCTTGAAAGTTATTTCCAGCGATTTCTCTTGGCCACTTTTACTAAGGAATTTTTTCTCCTAAAGTTATAACATGAATAGTTTCTGATATATAGTCGAGAGATCGGCTTATTGGACCACCCGGTACAAGTCAATAGTTGTATCTGTTGTCTTTAAATATTTATCCACGAAACTACGAATAAACCAGTCAAACATAAAAAAATAAAAATTTTCTTCAACAGTTTATTTGTCCAATTGTACACCACCATGGGGCAGATTTGTACAGTTATGGGGCACATTTGGACCATTTAGATAAACATTTGTCTAAGCCTCATAAATAAAAGATAATATAATACACAAAGTACTTACGAATGATATTTATTGGTTATAACATAAACATATTTGACAAAGAATCTATTTAATGTTGTATTATAAAGGGAAAAATGAGGTATTGAGCTTTATATAAGACCCTTGACGAGTAGTCTCCTAGGTTTCTAAAGATATAGGAAGTTTTTCCACAATATCTGCTCTGACTAGAGTACTAATATCATTTTCAGTAGGATAATAAAAGCCACTGTTCAGTTTGTATCGTAAAAAATTGATTCTTAGTTCCTCATCCACTTTCTTCTACACGGCCCACAAAGTAAATAGTCGTTTTCTTTGTTGCAAATTTTACCAGAACGAAGTCATCTACAAAAACCTCTTTGATAACTTTGATTACCTTGTTCTTAAAATCCAATTGGAATCCATGCGTATTCATTACGTCCATTCCTAATATAATATCCTCTTCGATGTCAGTAACTATAACAGTATGGACGAACTTTGCTGCTCCAATTCCTAATTGCACCTGCATTTCTCCATGAATGTTGGCATTTTCACCTGTAGCGGTCCGCAGTCGCAACCTCGTTGGTAACAGTTTCTTACGGCTCTTTATAACTGTCGGGCGTATAATGGTTCTGGTCGCTCCGATATCCACCAAAAACGTATGCTTTTTACCATTTATTTCTCCATCTACATACACACTATCTTCACGACATTTCAAAGAAGCGATTAGTATGAGAAGGTCTTTGTAAAGTTCTGGGTCGAAGCTGCCCCCCTAAGGCCGACCCGTTCTAGTTTTCCTGGTGGTAAGTTTCTTGATTTGCGTCGTACCTAGGATGCTTACAGGAACTTCGTACGTGTCCTATTTCGCCACAATTCCAGCATCTTATGGTCTTCATTTTCTTGTGTGTCATGCTTTTCATCATATTAACGATCTGGTCAAGTTTATCTTCATCTCCTTTCTCTTTTACATTCCTAACTTTACTGTATCCGCCAGAGGCCTGCGTAGCTGTCTCGTAGTCGAGGGCGGCGGATAAGACATCAACCAGCGTCTTGTGACGAGCTAATCGTAGTGTTTTCTGCATTTCATGATCACGAAGACCATCAATAAACGTTTGAACGGCCAACTTTTCCATCATGTCTTCGGGAGCTGTTGGATAAGCATATCGTACTAATCTGGCAATATCTACCTCATATTCTTGAAGAGACTCATCTTTCTTTTGTCTTCGATTTTTTAGCTGCGACTGATATACATGCTCCAAGTGTTCGCGCCCATATCGCATATTTAACCTCTTCTTAAGTTGTTCGAAATCATCCCTCTCCTCTACGGCTATGGTCTGGAGCACATCTAAGGTATCTCCTCGAAGAACGATAGTCAGGTTTACAGCCTTTTCTTTTTCAGACCATCCATTCGCTCTTGCAGCTTCCAACTGTTTCATGTAGTTGTTCCATGACGATTTTCCGTCGAAAGTTGGGGACTTTGACATGAACAAAACCTCCGGTTCTTTCAAATTTCGACAGTGTTTCCAACTTACCTTTCGTCTCGTCTTCTTTTGTCTCTGCTGCAATTGGATTGTTTCCACTCTCTGCTGTCCCTGTTTCCTCCAGCTTCTTTTCTATATCTTTTCTTCGAAGGCCAACATATCGGCAGCAACTTGGTTTTTTAACGAAGACATTCTATCGTCGAGGGCAGATATCTCAGAAGTGACTTTAGAGATTTCCAAGGAGATGTTAGCAGAAACTTTGCGTTCTCGAGAAGAAATCTCGTTAGAAACTTTGCCCAGAAACATTAATGAAAGTGTGGTATCGAATAAGAGTTAAAATATGATTTCTTGAATATAAATACATACAATTTGTTTTTCTAAGTAAAAAAGACAAATTTATCTCTTCCTTATCTTCTTCTGTATCACGTATCTGATTTTCTTCATAGTTCTCCATATTTGCCAAACTCCAAACAGTGATTCTGCAACCTTCGAACCACTCATCAGAAACGGTGGGTACCAATGAGTAACAATATAAGTACCTTTGAAAGTTGAGAGCCAGTGTATAAGAATAAAACTCTCAACTTTCTTTGAAGTAAATCTGAAACACGTGGGTTGGAGGTTATTTATAAAAATTCAAATATGAAATTATAAAGACACTAGTGTCTAGAGCCTGGCCCACTATTCTGTGTAGACTTGCGCAGTTCATTTGTATTCATCTCAGAATGTGTCAATGAGGTTTATAATATCTATAATATTTATTAAATGATGAATAGTTCCTCGAAGAGCTCTGTTTTTTTTTAATATTTTTTATTGCGCATATGTTTCCAATAAAAATGTGTTATACAAAGTGTGATGTCATGTAAATACTGATGCCAATTTTATTATTTTAGATGGAACATCAGGTATATTAGGTTAGTTATTGGATCCAATACAAAATACAAAGAACTTTATCAATATATTGGATTGCCATGCTTTTATTTAACTGTTTTTATTATACAATGTACTAAAGGCACAATCCCTTCTATATTAACTTTTAAATATATACCCTTTAAGATACCTACTTATGTACATTCCATTTCACACCTGGTAAAAATATAGGCAGGTTTCATTTATTTGACATAATACCTATTTTAAAAGAATATAGATAGGTACATATATAGTATATATATATACCTATATGAGTACTATATACATTATTAAAAACAAGTTGAGATACGAAAATGAAGTCACTCTTCTTTATTGAAATTAGGTATAGAACCTTTTAAAGTCATAAGGAGACACGCAGAGAGTGATCTATTCATTAACCACCCTGTATCCTAAAATAAGTTAATAAATCTATAACATGCAATATATCAAAGTTCTGGGAATTTTGTGCATAATCCAAAAAAATTATAATACCTATGTTTCATTTAAAATAAGAAAGTTGGTATCGTAGTAATTGATATATAATATCAGTCAACATCCTTTATATAAAATAACAAATTTTTATTGGAAAAAATGCGCAAAAAGTATTTTTTAAAAAACCTTTAATTTTGATTTGCTATTATTTACCATTAATTTTAGAGTTATTCTTATGCAACCAACAATGCACATAAACCTCATTGTCACATTCAGATGAGGATACAAATGAACTGCGCAAGTCTGCACAGAATAGTGGGTCAGGCTCTAGACACTAGTTAAAAAGACGGATAGGTATGTAAAAAAAATGATTAGTAGAAATATGAAACGTACTCACCACAGGAAAAGATTTAACAATATAAGGGAACTTATGACGAAAAATTAAGCTTAAGTGGACGAAAGACATTATACAATGTATTCTCCCTTCTACTGAATAAAAGTAGGTACAACTTTCGTGAGAACAGAGCAACTGACGGATATACTCTGTCGACTAAAGTGGGCATAGAATTTTATATTATTCCACGGCATAGAACAGAATGGGATCTGGATAAAAGGAATTTGAATATTAAGAGAAAATTAAAATCTAGATTATGGCAGAATATTTAGAACTAGAAAGTTGATTCAAGAGTTGAGCGCCAACTATTTTTAGAATATAGAGATTTTAAAACAAGAAGAAAAAAACGCACTAACTATGTAGCTTGGAGGATATATTTCTACGTGAGAGAATATGTATAGGAACACATGTGAAAGTAAAAGGGCAGAGCTGCTACACCTAGCACTTCGTTAGTGCTACCAACTGCTTAAAAACGCCAAATTTAAAAAATATTGTTTTGGATCATTTTTTAAAGTTGCATAAGACATTCCGAGGTCATTTATCAATGAAAAATTCGTATTCTGCAACCTAGAAAACTCAGTTAGAACTGATTTAGAATGAAATTAACATAAAACTCCAGGAGACGAGGTCACCCTGGGCAACAGATAAATAGAAGACCATCGCCGTCGTAATATTCGTGTTCAACAACCCCCCGAGTAATGACTTTCGACTGAAAATAGCATAAAACTTCTGTTCAAGGGGTCCATCCTGAACACCAAGTAGCTTAAAGACCATCGTCGTTATCATATTCGTATTCAGCTCCATCGAAAAACCCGAATAACAAAACTGAACTCACTTCTGTCGATATTTTCTGAGTTAAATTTTTTTTATTTTCTATGTACTTTGGAAATACGTTTTCCTTATACACATTTTTTTTATATTCGAATTGTCTAATAAAGGCCTCTCCCCTTTCTCGGCATTAATTCCTGTTGTGTGTGAGGCGTTTCCACATTGGTCCTGCGACTATTTTGGTCTCTTCCTCTTGGTCTCTTTGCTTCGTACGGTCGTCAGTTTCCAAATTCTTTTTCCATCTTCGAGACGTTCTATTCGTTATGTTCAGTCCATTTCCACTTTTTTCACAAACATAGCAATAGCAAACAGCACATAAATTTTGTTCACAAACTTTTCCGAATCAAATGCAAAACATTGCAAAGTGAAATGCGGAAAATTGGTATGTTTAGGCTTCATTTCCTCGTCTATTTTGTTTTCCTATCAATAACAAGTAAATACAATCAATAAAAAACATAATTTTTTTTATAACTTATGCTTTATTTAAAATTGTAATAATAAAAAACCTAGACAAACTTTAAAAAATCCATTTTGCGCTGCGTCAAAGATACCAAATAGTTCTCGTTATTGTAGCAAATACCATTTAAATCTAATACCGCATCATTTGTTGGTACGACTGCAACTCTCTCGCCTGTATTTATGCTCCACAAGACTACACATTTCAGGGATTCCTCATAAGCTGCAACATAGTCTTGCTGATTTGAAATAAAACAGGATTTAGATAACAACATTTGCATTCTTCCGCCTACAAACGTGTGTGTCGTATTACAAACTACTTCCCCCTCACTTGTTTTATTGAGGGTAAATACGGAATGTCTAGTGTGAGAAACTACGTTATTTGGTCTAGAAGAAACGAGGAGTTGTTTAAGCGAGCTATTATATTTCATACTAATAAATGGTCCACTTAGAGGTAGAGCGTCTCTTTTATAGTCATTTCTACAGTCTTCAAACAGCCACAAAGAATTAAGTTTACAGAGGATAAGAGCTCCACACGGAAAACGCTCTTCGGATGTTGGAGGAATCGACGCTATTGACACCACAGGTGACATATCGCCAGGAACTGAGAGGGTACATACAGGTTCTTGAATATTACGAATGTCATACTTAAGTACACTTCCTGTTTGTGTGCCTATATAAAACATATTTGGGTCCTTAGTATCCCAACACGTCGACCACAAGGGCATATTTAGCGTCGATGAGGAAATTACTATATTGCTGTGAATATCTACAATTCTAAAACTCTTATCCATGGACGCCGTTAATACCGAACGATTGACTGGATGAAAACGTACATCTCTAATTTGTTGGCTATGAAGAGGAATGAAAGCAAGTGGTTTGTACGTTGACATGTCAACTTTCTTAATACCAAAACCTGAAAATAAGTCGATCGGGGACTTAGACGACGCTATTATTAAATCTATTTGAGTATTGGTGTCAAAAACTCTACATCCGCTGTGTCGGCAAATTTCCAAAGATTTTTCGGTATACAGTTTAATGGGCCGTTTTTCCGGATCATATTTTTTGTTGTACATACTGTCCGAGCAACCTTGTACTCGATTTTTACTTAATTCAACAATTTGTGTTCTTAAGCTACTTATTTCCTGTTTTAAAATTCCTTCACGAGTTACGTAGTTGGCTAAATCTACTTGAAGTCTATTTTTTTCTTCTGTTGTTACATATAATCGTTCTTTCATTATTTCTAGTTCAGAATTATCAATTGCAATGAGTTTCTTAGCGTATATTAGTCTTATTTCTGATTTGCTGGCAGGTTTCTTACAAGTGGGACATGACTTTTGTTGTTGAGTATCCAACCATCTGTATACACACTTATAGCAGAAAACATGACCACACTTTAACGCACATATTCGACGATCTCCTGAATTAGTCCAATTGTCTAAACAAATAGGACACAGAGATCCATCATCATCATCATCAGTATTTTTGGTGGGCTCTGTTTCAACACTAGTTTCGTCTGCGAGTTTGGCTAAGCTTTGATCACAACTGGTCCCAGATAAACTGACAGTAGACTGTGTCATTTCATCGTCATCATCATCTAAAAAAAAAAAAAAAAAAATAAGTGAATTCTTAAAAAATCAAAAATACAAGGTTGGAACTCCAAGAAATGAATATATGGCAGATACATTCGTTTGCAACAAAGCAAGCATAGATCATTCCTATTCATTACTTTGGCCAGACCAATGCTGCGCTGTTTAGTGAGTTACTTAAACTTAGTTGCATTTAAACAAGTAATACAAAATATTATATCGCCTCCATTTTCAAAATATTTCTTTCGGAATTAAGTGTTAGTTACCGTTCTGGCTAAAATAAAAGGGAGTAGAAAATGAAAATATTCTAAAAAGAACTATAGAATTTTTGGCAAATTTTTATTTATTCAAAAATCTCAATCGATGATTCCTACAAATAAAAACGATTTTAAAATGCCACCACTTTCATCTTAAAATTTCACGCAGTGATGTTTCGAGTATGGAACTCTTCCCGAATAATTATGTCGTATACAGAAAAGACCGAAAATTCCATGAGGTGGACAAAGTGAAGGGTGGTGGTGTAGTGCTCGCGTTAAAAGATTTCATAACATCTGAAATATTGGACACTACGGCTCTCGACGCACAATTTCCACTAATTGATCTTATTATTGTCAAGTGCCGGATTGGTTACAAATATTTTTATATAATTGTTGTTTATTTACCTGATAGATTAAGTTTGGTAGACTTTGAATATTTTTTCGATTGCTTAGGACAATTGCTTAGGCGATTTTAATGTTTCAAGGTTTATAGATAATGATATGTCTGATTTCAAAACTTCTGTAGTTTTAAGTTTTGCGGGCTCTACTAACCTTAGACAATTTAACAATGTTGTTAATCATTTGGGTAGACTGCTAGATTTGGTCTTATCGCATTTCAGTTGTGAAGTGAAGCATGATGACTCACCTTTAGTCTATGAAGACACTCATCACCCAGCTCTTATAATAACATTTACGGATATATTTGTAATAGAGCCTAAATTTAAGTGTGGTTTGAAGCAATTGACTTACAACTTTAAAAAAGCAAATTTTCCTGCTTTATATCGAGAACTGTATGAAACGGATTGGAATTCTCTGGATACTTCTAATGACGTTAATGAAACTTTAAATAACTTTTATGATAAGATTTTTTCTGTGTTTAATAAGTATATTCCAGTTTATAAAAACTTTAGCCATAAATACTCCACCTGGTTTGATGCTGATATCATTCACAACATCAAATTAAAAGCAAAGTTTAGAAAAAAATTTAAACGATTCAAAAATCATTGTGATTTGCTTGAGTTTCAACGGTTAAGACACTTGTCAAATCAAAAATCAGTTTGGCATACAATGTATATGTCGAGAATATCCAAATTGCTTTATCCATCAACCCCAAGAAGTTTTGGTCTTATGTAAATTCAAAAAATATTAGTTCAAGAATTCCTGGTGTGATGAAATATAATGACATTACTACCTCCGACCCACAAAATATTGTGAATGTGTTTGCAGAATTTTTCAAGAGTGTTTTTCTGTCATCAGATATTAATTTCAAGACTAACTCTTCCTCAGTGAACGCAGATTACTTAAATTTTTATCCTATTTTAGAATCTGAAATAATTTTTGCTAGTAAGAAATTGAAAGACAAAATGACGTGTGGACCTGATAATATTTCATCCTTTTTGGTTAAGGATTAACTGGGCCTTAACTGTGCCACTATTAAAAATTTTTAATTTATGTCTTCTAAACAAGGAATATCCGAGTCTCTGGAAGGAGTCAAAAGTGTGCCCAATATTCAAAACTGGCGAAAAGGGTCAGGTAGAAAACTACAGACCAATTTCCATTATTTGCAATCTATCGAAAGTCTTTGTAATAGTTTTGTATAATCGTATTTATTCACGCACTCGTAATCAGCTGTCTCAATATCAACATGGTTTTGTCTCCAATCGGTCCACTGTGACAAACTTATTAATGGTCACACAATATATCTCAGCAGCCCTAGATAATAGAAGTCAAGTTGACGTCATATATACTGACTTTACGAAGGCATTCGACAGAATTCACCACGGCGTATTACTTTCCAAATTGTGTCTCTTTTGTCTTTCTGAGGATGCCGTGACTTTTATGAGGTCTTACTTGTCAAATAGAACGCAGTTTGTTGCTTATAATGGTTACAAATCGGAAAAGTACCTAGCTTCTTCAAGGGTCCCACAAGGTTCTAATCTAGGTCCATTATTGTTCTTGTTATTTATTAACGATCTGTGTGAATCAATTTCTGCACCATGTTTATGTTATGCCGATGATTTAAAGATTTATTCATTGATAAGCGACCTTAATGATTGTCATTTTCTGCAGAGTGAACTGAATCGTGTACATGAATGGTGTAATGCAAATCATTTGAATCTTAATGCCAATAAGTGCAAAGTAGTTAGTTATTCTAGGAAACAGTCTAATATATACCATCCTTATATTATCGATGGCAATGAACTTGAACGTTTGAATAAAATTAAAGACCTTGGAGTTACATTTGATTATAAACTCACTTTTGTTGAACATGTTAATTTAAAGGTTAAAGAAGCACTTAAATCTTATGGATTCATAATTAGAGATAGTCGAAATCTCACTAATACTAAGGCAATTAAATTACTTTATTACACTTTTGTACGCTGTAAACTGGAATATGCTTCTGTCATTTGGTCACCTTTTTATGATGTACACATCCAAATTATAGAGCACGTGCAGCGTAAATTTTTAAAATTTTTGTCTTTCAAAATTAACGGCATATATCCCAGGCGGGGCATCAGCAATAGCGAGTTGTGTAGCGGTTTGGACGTAGTATCATTAGAATCTAGACGAATTAATGCCTCCCTAATATTCCTGTACAAGCTACTACATAATCTCATTGACTGCCCTGATATTCTTCGACAAATAAATTTTAACGTTCCATCTTATCCAGTGAGAAATTCGATTACGTTCAGAAATACACAAGCTAGAACTAATCTTATGTTAAATTCTCCTCTATTTCTCATGTGCAACTATTATAATTCCTTACTGAGGATGGCTGAGATCTACCTAGGTGATTAAGTAGTTTCTTTATGTTAAGGTAAAATACTCGAAAAATGTGTTATTTAGTTAGTACCTATGAATTATTAATATTTCATTTAACTTTAGTATTGTATTTTGTCCTATAAATGTGTTGGACAATAAACGCTATTATTATTACTATTATATATATATATATATATATATATATATATATATATATATATATATATATTATATATATATATATATCCGGTTTTTTAGGCGTTACGCCCGTCCGGTAGGGATCTATGGAGGAGTATCACCCAGCCGCCAGCCCTTATCTCTTGCCGTACTGCTCCACCATAGGCCGATCAGATCCCAGCATATCCTAGTCTAAGCCGCAGATTCATCTAGAATTTTAAACTGCTGCGTTAGACTTTTTGTTTTCTGTACACCGAGCTGGGGCTCGACCCACATCCACTAAACCATTCGACAGTGAAGCGAATGAGAGGCAGCCGCACAGCCCGCTGAGCTATCTGACCGACTATTATTATTATTATTAAAAAATTCCTAAATGATAATGAAAATTGTGTCTATGTTTTTAGCATGACTAGTCATGCATGGTGGGTGGGCAAGAAACTCCATAAAGAAAATTCATATAAACAGCTTAAAACAACCTAACATTAAACTAAAAGTCACAGAAAACTAAAATGAGTCAATAGCGGATAATCACGGCAAGATCTAAACAACCGGCCAGTATAGAAGACACATGGAATTGTAATAAAAAAGCTATCGTAACCACCAGCAAGTCTCTGATCGCTTCCCAGAAGTACAAAAAGAAGAATTGGATGACTGACGAAATATTATCAATGATGGACGACCCCAGATCATTTAAAAACAAAGACCGAATCAAACATCACCAGATTAACCGACAAATACAAAAAAAGTATGACAAAGCTAGAGAACAGTGGCTGCTAGACAGGTGTGCAAAAATGGAGGAATTGTAAGAAAAACATGACCACTTTAACATACATAAACTCGTTAAAGAAGTGACAGGTCATACAAAACCTTGCAGTTTTAACAGTATTGCAAATACCGATCCCAAGAATCTACTTCAGTATTGGAGAAACTACACACAGAAACTATACTTAGACAACACTAGAAGAAACTCTGAAAGTGAATATAAAAGTGAATTCTCCATCAAAATATTGAAGTCAGAAGTAAGGGCAATCAAACAGAGCAAATGAGGAAAAGCACCAGGCCCAGATGACTTATACATAGAGGTTCTAACAATGTTGAATGAAGACAATATAGACGCCTTGGCAGATCTTTTTAACGACATTTATGGGTCCGGTCAAATACCACAGGATTGACTTCAATCAACCTTTATACCAATCCCAAAAAAGCCAAACGCTAATAGTTGCGACCAATTCCGAATGATCAGCTTATTGAGCAGGTCCTAAAAAAATTATCTTAAAGATAATTTGACGATTTGGCACAAGAGAAGCACTTTATAGCTTAACTGGTTTACTTCAGAAATGCGGAGATCAGCAAAAAGATGTCTTCCTATGCTTTATAGATTACCAGAAAGCGTTCGATCGTGTTAATCATACAGAATTAGTAAGATTGCTCCAGGAACGTTCGATAGATGAGAATGGCATTAAAATCATAAAGAACCTTTATATGAATCAAGTGGTATCTGTGAGAGTAGGACTGGAATCTACATCATATTTTTCAATCGAAAAAGGTGTACGACAGGGTTGTGTTCTCTCGCCCCTCCTTTTTAATCTTGAATCTGAAATGATTTTCGATAGAGCCTTAAGTGACACTGAAGATGGAATCAAAATCAACGGACATACTGTTAGTAATCTTCGCTATGCTGATGATACAGTCATAATAGCTGATAGCCAAGAAGCGCTACAACGACTAATAGATAGAATAAACACTGAAGGAGAACGACTGGGCTTGAAGATTAATATAGACAAGACGAAGGTAATGATGGTTAGTAGAAT